AGGAAGAAAATACATTGGAGGAGTAGGTGTTGGGTTTGGGCGTGTGTAGAAGTATCTTAGACATGGTAAAACACTGGCTAGGAGGCCTGTGTTGGTCATGGTGGTTGCTTTGGTGTGCAGCCTGCCTTCCTTACCCCTCCCTTTATTCACAGTCCATCCCATGGAAGTGGCTGTTTGGGGCGACTGCTGTGGCCCTGGGGGGCGTGGCTCTCTCTGTGGTCATTGCTGCCAGGAACTGACTGCCCCCCTGCACACCTGGACCCCGACCTGTGCTCCCCAACTCCCCCCAGGCTCCCTGTCCACTGCCCTCCCTGGCCGAGCCACCTCCTCTGGGTTGGGGGAGCAAGGATTGCGGGTCACACACCCCAACAAGCAGGAAGGACTGAGGCCCTGAAGGGGTACATGGGGTACAGCCCAGGTGGAGGGGCCCCGTTGCTCCAGACCCAACTGTCTCTGTTCCACATCCCTGCCCTCTGGGCTCTGGCCTCAGTTTTTCCCTCTCATTAGGCCTGGGGCAGCCCTTACTACTAGTCCTGCCTACCTGCCCCCTGCCCAGGCTCCCCCACAGTGAATGAAATAAAGCCTCACCCCGCACCCCATTGCTTCCTGAGCCTCCTTCTGCTGAGGCTGGAGCAGAGAAGGCCTGTGAGTCACAGCTGAGCTGGCCCAGCACAACAGCTCCCTTACAGAGGGCTGTGCAGGCTGCACTTGAGAGGACTTCTGCGCAGCCCGCTCTATGCGTTCATCTTGTGGCCATTCTCTGCCTGAAGTTGGGATTGTGTGGATTCTGGGTCACTTACTTGGTTGATGCTGTGATTTCAAAAGTCACTGGTCTGGTATGTATGAGGCATTGGGCTCTACAGGGAAGAGGTGGAGGACTTTGGCAGCCCTGGTCGAGGAGAGACAGGTGTGGGACAGCTAATGCCGAGGACTGATCCAGGCAGGGATCCCTGTGTCCAAGGCAGTGCACGCTGTGCTTCCCAATGGCAGCCGACTGCAGCTCTGCACATTGCAGAGTTCAGAGCTGGTGGAAGCTGGGCTTGCAGGCTGCCCTATAGTGCTGGCCTGTGCCCTCACACACCTGCCACGGCCAGCAGAGCGGGGATGGGCCATGTAGTGCCTGACTGGGGGATTTGTGTTTGAGGGAGAGGCTCGCATTGCTGAGGCTGGTCTGCAACTCCGCATTCTCCTGCATCCAGCTCTCAATGTTGGGATGGCAGGTGTCTCAAGTATATGACTTATCTGGGACTTACTTTTTTTGGTTTTCTTTTAAAAAATGTTTAGAGGTGCTGGCTATGAAACAAAAGACCTTTTCTCAAAGTTCCTTAAGAGTTCAGAGAGGGCCCGGCGGTAGTGGCGCACACCTTTAATCCCAGCACTCAGGAGGCAGAGGCAGGTGGATCTCTGTGAGTCTGAAGCTAGCCTGGTCTACAGACCGAGTTCCAGGGCAGCAGGGCTGTTACACAGAGAAACCTGGTCTTGGACAAAATAACAAAAACCCCACAAAGTTCAGAGAGGGCCAGTGCTTCCCCCGGGGTACACAGCAGCTGTCCTGCAGATCTCCCGAGCCCTAGCTGCCTTTGCCCTTGCCCAACCCTCTGACCAACTCCAGCATTCACCGGACCCAGCCGGTGAATGTCCGGATGACTGGACAGCAGTGAGTCTGTCTCCCTGAGCTGTCGGAGAGTCACACACAGACCCATCCTGAGGGGCATCTGCTCACCCATACCTCACTGGTCTTGCCTCTCCACTTCAGCCCCACAGTTCCCTATAAAATGCCCTGAGGTTGGCAGAGCACCATACATGACCTTAGAGACGGGGTCTAGACTGACCTTGGGACTGCTGGGTTCTGGTAAGCCTCCTGACTTGGTCTCCTGGGTAACGAATTGCATGCTTGCTATCATATCTGGCTTATTTTGCAGTGCTGGGAATCCAAGGTCTTGTTACATCTTCTTGAACTGTTGGGGATGGGGTGTGCAGTGGTGCATGTCACTTCTCTCCTTTCTTGTGGGTCCTAGGGTTTGAACTTGGGTCATTAGGCTTGGTGGCAAGCTGCTTTGCCAGCTCAAAGGACTCTGGGAATGGATGGGTGGGCCATGCCCCCAGCCCCTCGCTGGGACATCCTGAGCTGTGACAGATGCCTTTGGAGGCTGGGTAGAAGTATAAAGTAAGGACTTTGGATCCAGTGGTGAAGTCTGTCTGTCATCCCAAGTCAGTCTGAGCCCAGAGGATTCTGAGTTCAAAGATACCCTCAGCTATGTGGTAAGTTCAGCCTGGATCCTAAGACCATGTTCACAATAAGGGGCTGGAGACTCATAACCACCTCCTGGAACTAGTTACAAGTTCCAGGAGCGCTGATACCCTCTGGTGGTATGGAGGGCATCAGGCACATACATGATGCACAGACACGCATGTGCAAACACACTTAGAAAAATAACTTTTTTTTTTTTTTGATTTTCGAGACAGGGTTTCTCCGTAGCTTTTTGGTTCCTGTCCTGGAACTAGCTCTTGTAGACCAGGCTGGCCTCGAACTCACAGAGATCCGCCTGCCTCTCCCTCCAGAGTGCTGGGATTAAAGGCGTGCGCCTCCACTGCCCGGCAGAAAAATAACTTTAAGAAGTGGGTGGTGGCTCCCCTATCATCTCAGTGTGGAAGACCAAGGCTATCTCAGCCATTTCCTGACCCTTTGCTCTGTGGTTGTATTAAAGCGATTGGGAAAATAGCCAAGCATCTCCTGGATTTGTGCAGCAGGGAGCTCACACAGGCACCAGTGAGGACCCCTCCCCCATGATAATACATATAAAAATCTATGCTGGGTGTGGTGGCACGAGAATTTAATCCCAGCAGTTCAGAAGCAAGCAAATCTCTGAGCCTGAGGCCAGCTTGCTCTTGCATAGTAAGAACCAGTCTCAAAGATTATATATTTGTTAATATATATTGTGTTTTTTTTTTTTTTTTTTGGACAGGGTTTCTCTGTAGCCCAGCCTGTGCTCGAACTGTACAACTCAGAGAGACCCTCCTGCTTCTGCCTCTGGAGTGTTGGCATTAAAGGTGTGCACCAAGCTGGGTGGTGGCGACGCACCTTTAATCCCAGCACTCAGGAGGCTGATCTCTGAGTTTGAGGCCAACGTGGTCTACAAGAGCTAATGCCAGGACAGGTTCCAAAGCTACATAGAAAAACTGTCTCAAAAAGAAAGAGAAAAAGAAAAGAAAAACAAACAAACCCTAGTCAAACAACAACAAAAAAGGCTTGCACTGCCATCCAGTAAAAGATGTTTTAAGAGTCAATGTGTAACTCATCCCAGCAATTCAGATGATTAGTAATGGCCCAGGTGGACAGTGAGGAGCAACATTGGACGCGAATCATCAGATGGATAAGCAACAGCTGTCGATTACAGGCAGCATATTGTGTCGTCCTCAAAAAGGAACGATTGATCTTAGATTGATGACTCTTGAAAACAATAGCAGTCAGACTTAAAACACTGAGCTCAGGATGTGTGACCACACTAGAAAATGCCCACAGGGACAAGCAGATCAGAGATGCCAGGCGACAGGGAGGAAATGAGGAAAACCTGCAGATGGGGACGGACAAGGCTGGCTTTCGACCTGAAGGAATGTTCTGGAGCGGAGGGTGGTGGTGGTTGCGCAACACTGAGGACGTGCTGAATGTCGCATGAGAGAGTGTTGTTTATTGGAAAGCCAGCCCGCGGCGTGTGGGAGTTTTTATCCTGTTACTGAACTTTTAGCATCAGGAACGCACAGCACACCGCCAGTTTGCGTCGCTCTGGCCGCTTCCGGTCTGGGGACCCCCACCCATTAGCGGGTCCCAGCGAATCACGCGCACTTTGTTACATAGTCACGCCCACCAAGCTAACTTTCAACCTCCCGCGCGCCGGCCCCGCCCACCTCACGCTCCTGACAGATCTGCGTTTACTCCACCAAAGAAACGCTGAGGGGAAAAAACAAAAACCACAATAGCTGAGTAAAGAGGACCCTACGAGTGCGGTAACATGCGCCCACGTGTTCAAGGCTCATGAATAATTTATGTGAGGCGGAGTTCATAAATGGCCGTCTCTAAGTGGAAAGCTGAACTCGTCAGCGGCTCATGAATATGTATAGCGCAGGGGCGGAGAAGGGGTGTACGTCAGGTCGCCAGGGGGCGTGGCCAGCTGAGTGGCAAACCCTTGAGGGCTGGCGTCCGAGGTGGGAGCCGCCGCAGCTCCGAGTGGTTCGGCTTGTGTGAGGGCCTGAGGTTGTAGGAAGCGCGCCTCAGGAGCCTGCGGGCTTGCTAACCTGCGCGGCGCCGGGCGGCTGTGGGCGCGTGGCCAGTCGGGATTTTGGCGGGCAAGCGGTGGTCTGGGCAACCCCCCGGCCCCGAGGGGGAGTGAGCACACCTTCCTCATGAATAATGCAGCAAGGCTGGAGGGCGGGCCTTATGGAAGCTTAGAGGCGTGGCCAAAGGCTTTGGCCGTGGGCGAGCATTTCCTGTGACGTAGGATTCTGTGGGAGCTTGGGGCGTGTCAATGAACTGAAGTGGGGCGGGCGTCACCAGAACCTGTGGGCGTGGCCATGTGCGTAGTGCTTTTATTTTCAGTGTGGGCGGGCTCGCTTCTGGCGGGAGGCGTGGCCATCGCGGCCGGCGTCTACAGGTCTTCCCTGAGAGGGGGCGGGCTCCCTGAGGCGAGGGGCGTGGTTATCTCGCCGGCTACTGCTGACAAACAAGTTCGAAACCGCCGGCCGGCTGGGACGCAATCGTCGGGATGAGGAGCCAGCCTCTCCTCGTAAACAGCCCACCCCGCGGCGAGCGCCGGCCGCGCTGTCCCGCTGACCGGCCTCGCGAGACCTCGGGGCGTGGCCTCAGTCCATCCGGTCCAACTGGGCGCCCTGCGGGAGGGCGTGGCCGAGTCGGCTCATGAATAATGCATCGCGGCGGAGGGCGGGCAGGGCAGCGGGGAGGGCGGGCCGGCGTGCAAGCGCAGCGGCCGAGGAGGGGGCGGGGAGTGATGGTTACAAGATGGCGGCGCTGAAGGAGGCTCGGAGTTACGGGCTGTCGTGCGGGCGCGTGAGCGACGGCAGCAGGGTGTCGGTGTTCCACGTGAAGCTCACCGACAGTGCCCTGAAGGCTTTCGAGAGCTACCGGGCTCATCAGGTGAGCGGCGTGGCGTTCTGGCGGGCGGACTGCGCCGTGGGCACAAGGCCGCGTCCACACCTGGCGACACTTGGCCAACCCCAGTGACATCCTTCAGGTTTATTTTCAATCTGCTCTTTCGCTTTTTATAAAGCATGTCCTTCCTATGTAGCTCAGGTTGGCCTTGGACTGACGACCATCCTCTTGCCTCAGCTTCTTCAGCGCTGGGATGACAGGCGTGCCTGGACCCACTCTTAGAAGGGGTAGTTACTGACCCCAGACCCTGTCTCCTCAGGTCACCTTGTGTCGCTGGAGGCTTTTGGACGAGGCCGTTGTGTTTTTTCATAGACTGAGGTGATGTTAGCTGGGCATGGTGGCTTCCTCTGGCTGGGCACTCAGGAGGAGGCAGCAGTTCCACCACATTTGGTCGTTCCCTCTCGTAGTCCACCCGTCATCTGGGAGAATTAGAAGCCTTTTGGTGCTTCCTCCTGGCTTGGGGGTGGGGCGGGGACCCCAGCAGTATGCCTCCCTCCGGGTCTCACCTGGATGCTCCACCCAGGTCTTGGCACCACCCTGCGTCCACTGGGACAGAAGTTGCAGGTCCCCAGGGCAAGTGGTTTCAGGCTTCATCTTAAAGTGGCTGGGGTGTTGGGTCTGTTTCTGGGACGTGTGTTTGCCTGTGTTGGCGCAGGGGGTGTTGACGCGGACGAGTGAGCAGAGAGTAACTAGGAAGGAATGTGGTTTCCTTCCTGCCCGGGACATGCGCAGCATCATTGGCCAAGCTAGGAATTTCTTCCCCATTCAGCCTTCTGGGGAGCCTACCTCTTCCCACCTGTCTTCCCATTACTTCTTTTGAGCCACTTCCTCCCTGTGTCAGGGTCTCAGTTTCCTCCTTTCTAGAACAGGATCCGATTTCTTTGGGAAAAGATTAGTTCTTCCTTTGTCAGGTTCCACACCTTGGGGCAGAAAGCGCCCCTGCAGGTGAGGAGGAAGAGGTGTTGGGGATTTGGGTGGTAGCCTCTGGTTGACCAGCCCAGCCGCTCTTCCTGGTTGGAGTCTTTCCCCTTGGGCCGTTCTGACTAGTACTGGAGGAGCAAGGCTTTTCCCAGAAACAGCTGGACCAGAGTGTGAGTCACCACTGTCAGGTGGACTTGGTACCTGGTGGCAGTGCTGCCAGCCCTTGCCCTGATGCCTCGGCAGCCTTCTCTCCAGCATCACTGTCATACTGTTATTTTGAATTTTGGGTGTGCATTACATCCCCTAAGTAAGCTTGGTCTTCCTCATGTGAGGGCGCTTATGGAACTAGGCCACATGCATGTGCCCCAAGGAATTCAGCTGTGTATGGCCGCAGCTGACAACGAGGGTGCCTCTGCAGTGTGGCTGGCAGCATTTAATTTTGGGGCAGTCTAACCCTGTGTTTATCTGAAAAGCTGACAGGGCATTTAACTGGCAAGGTGACTTTGAAGTTTAATCTCTTGTCAGCATAGGAGCCTCACGCTATCCTAGGTTGGTCTCAAACTCATGACTCTTAAGTGCCAAGATGGCAGACAGGTATCTACCACTGGCCCAGCTTCAGAGATACATTGCTTGTTTAGTTTTCCGAGACAGGGTTTCTCCTTGTAGTCCTGGCTGTCCCGGAGCTCTCTCTGTAGACCAGGCTGGCCTCGAACTCACAGAGATCCATCTGCCTCTGCCTCCCGAGTGCTGGGACTAAAGGTGTGTGCCATGCCTGGCCTGGATTTGAGCTTACCCTCTGAGCATGGAGGGGCTGAGACAGGGTGCGCTGACAGCAGGAGGGGCAGGTTTGCAATGGTGGGCCTGGGAGGGACTTGGAGACATGTCGGTGACGATGTTCACGGAGCAGTGCCTCTCGTGCTCTCCTGCCTGCTTCAGGTCAGTCACTCGCTTCCCAGCAGCTGCTCACCATTGAGCTGGGCCACCAGTTCTTACTTTTTTTCTTAAAGACATGGTCCTCTTCTGTAGTCCAAGCTGGTCGTGAACTCTCCTGCCTAGCTTCCCTACACTGCATTGGCAGGCATGCCCCAGTACAATCCTATATTTTATTTTGAATCTCCAGGAGCTTTTTCTTAACTTCATGTGTAGCCAGAGCAGAAGCTTGAGAGGAACTGACTGTGGAATGGCTGTGTGTGGCCTAGGGAAGGAGCTGGGCATACCTTAGTAGAGGGTTGGGAATGTGTGGTGACCTATGCTGCAACAGGAGGCCATGCCAGTTCAAGGCACAGCCATAGAGATGACCGGAGCCCATCTCACCTGGGGCTTGGGTTTTTTTCTCTTCTAATGTTGATAAAAAGAGAAAAGGCATACTGCCTAGGGTCCAGGGGCTGGGTAGAATGAGGAGCTCAAGGCCAGCCTGAGCTAAACAACCTAATAAGATGTCCCCGAAACCAAACTGGTGCTGATGTGGCACTTCATCTTTGTGTTTTGGGATTCAGTGGGTGTGGCATTTAGGAGAGCTAAGAAAATGTGGTCTTCTCATCCTTTCAGGACAGCCCGTTGCTGCTGAGAGGCATGCCCTGACAGCTATGAGATGGGGACCCTGCCTCCATCTATTCCACTCTTGTTCATCCTTGTTGTCTAGGTGGGCTCTGTGGCCATGTGTCCTCACCTTGTCCTTGGTAGAAAGGCACAGAGAGGTCAGGGGAAATTGAGGGTTCAAGCAGAGTCCACGTCCAGAGCCTTGAGTGGCTGTGGGCTAGCAGAGGCCTGACATCTTGCAACTCCAGGTCTTCCTTAGGTCTGCAGAGGTCTGTTCCCACTAGAGTCCCAGCTTCTACCGAGGTTCTGCTGTGGCCTCATGTTCCTGGAACTGTCACTTGGCTATAGGAGGCTACCTTACTTACAGTGCCTCCTGTACTGCCCTCCCAAGAAAGAAACACTCTCTCCTGTCAGCATAGGGCTGGCCTTTGGGCCCAGAGGCACTGATGTGCCTCTCATTACACCTGATGGTTTAGAATCCTCAAGAGTTGGCAGAGCTGGGCAAGGGAGATCCACCAGGGTAGATGTAATAAGGAGAGAAGTAGGGCTGTGGTGGTCATGTAGGGCCTAGAAGGGCATTGGAGGCCCTGGCTCACTGTGATGCACCGTGGGGCAAGAGGAGCCCCAGTTGAGCCTGCATCCTCCTGGTGTGGCTCTGCATCCCTGGGGATTCCCGCCTTTTGGGATTGGACACTGCCCTGACAGTGGGCTGGTGGCTCCCACTTTGTCCAGAGGCTGATGAACCTTGAAGCACATCACCAACCCCCTGTCCCAGGCCTTCTCTCAGTGCTCATGAGTCTCTGGTCAGTCTGCTTGTACCCTAGAGAGACTTGGTGACTGAGGGATCGTGCTACCTTACTGGCATGTCTGTGTTGTGCCCTGTTTTCAGAGAAAGCTGGAGTGTGACAGGATCACCTTCTCTTGTTCCCTGCTTGTCCTGTGTCATTCATCCCAGTCAGCCCCATCGGGGAGCAGTGTCCAGTCTTCAGGTGAAGTCATGGGTGGTGGCTCTAGACGTAGAATCACCTCTCAAGACCTTTAAGCAGGGAGGTAGCTCAGAAGCCAGGCATCAAGGCCTCAGAAGGGCTGTGGCTCTGCCAGGAAGGGTTGACCATACTGGTGTGGGCATCAGAAGTGTGGTGGCCTCATGCCTTTGGCCTGCTGGGGTGTGGGTTCCCATGTGTGTTGTAGGGTAGGTGCTGGATGGTGCTGAGGCCGAATTCCTCAGAGGACTAGAGAAAGAGGGAAACAGCCTGGCGCTGGAGTCTTTGGGGGTGATGAGTGTGTGCCAACAACTTGACACCTCCCTGGCCACCGTGACCCTTGGCTTTGCTTCCGGCTGCCTGCCTGTGGCCACGGTGACTGTGTGTAAACAGCAGGCACTCAGAACCAACCCATCTGTTGACTCATCTGCAGGCCAGAGTTCATCACCCTGCAAGCAGTTTTGATAGCGCACCAGGATTGTGACATCCTGGCGGCCTTGAAGGAGGAACTACCCAGCATGGAAAACATGGCTACTTTTCCCTACTCTGCTAGTCCCTATGCCCAAACCGGACCCACAGGAAACCCCAGGATGGGGCTAATGGGCACACACTGGAGTCCTGCTGATTGACCTGGGTGCTCTGAGTCACATATGTACATGTGTGCAGCTCATGGGAACATGAGGTTTCCATGGTGACCACACGCTAGTGTCTAGCAGGTGGATAGTTTGTCTGTTTTCATTTTTTTTTTCTTTCTTTTTTTTTTTTTTTTAATTTTCGAGACAGGGTTTCTCCGCAGCTTTTTGGTTCCTGTCCTGGAACTAGCTCTTGTAGACTAGGCTGGCCTCGAACTCACAGAGATCCACCTGCCTCTGCCTCCCGAGTGCTGGGATTAAAGGCGTGCACCACCACCGCCCGGCATTTTTTTTTTCTTAGACAGGTGTCATGTAGTACTAGCTGGCCCTCTCTTTGCTTCCCAAGTACTTGGATGACAGGTGTTTGCCACCACACCCATTGTTGTGTCACGGTTCAATAAAAAGAAAAGCTGGTGTCCAAATAGGCCATCCTGAGGAAACTGTCCCACACTTAGTGTCATAGCCCTGTGCTCTAATGACTCCCTGGCCAAGGAGTAACCAGGCCCAAGGGTTTGGGGTGGGGGCTGGCATCCAGTGATCCCCAGAGTCCATATATGTCTGTTGCAGCACACGGGAAACTGTCACAGAGGGGAGGCCCACAGAAAACAGTGTGACTGTCCCTGCAGCCTGGGGTGCATTCCTGCCTCCCTTCCCCCATCCCGAGACAGGGCTTTTCTGTGTAGCCCTGGCTGTCCTGCAACTTGATCTGTAGACCAGGCTGGCCTCGAACTCAGAGATCATCTGCCTTTGCCTCCCGAGTGTTGGGATTAAAGGGGTGTGCCACCACTGCCACATACTTTTGGTGGTCAGACATGCATGCAATTTTGTATCTTTCTTCCCTAGTCATAGACAGTTTATTGTCCCTTAAACTGAAGCCTGTGTGGTTGGCCCCAATGAGCTGCACTGCAGC